CGGGGGCGGAGCGCCCGAGCGCGCCCTGACCTGCGACCCGCGGTGAAAGGCGCCGCGCACGGGCCGCGCTGCGACATGGCATCGCGCCGAGCAATCAACGTATTCTCTTAGCACCTTTATAGTCCGTTAAAAATTCTGCCCGTGCTTCGTTACGGTAGCGCAACTTTTAACGAACTTTTCGTTTTATAAATGTAGCTAAAATATGTTATTTATTAAGCTTTTATCAATATCATGTTACATTTTAAGACAACAACACCAAGAAACAATTGTTTAATAATAAACTTGCAAAAACTTACATGTCTATGAACTGTATAACAAGTAAATTGATTTCAATATTTCATTAGGGTTCCGTACCTCATAGGAAAAAAACGGAGCCCTTATAGGATCACTTTGTTGTCCGTCCGTCCGTCTGTCAAGACCCTTTTTTTTAAGTAAATTCGTTTATTTAATAGTGAAAAATAGAAAACGCCTAAAGTCACTTGACCTTTTTCAACACTAAATTTTTTACAAATAATAACGATAGTTATTATTATATATCTCTTATTAAATTCGTGGCTCAATTTCATAATGATTCCATTGGCAACATATAATTTTTTTGTTATGAATACAATAATATAATTAAAGTAATTGAAAACAAACACACTTGAACATTGTGTATGTGAAAAGAGTACGGATCATTACAATGTTACTTTCACTTACTTATTAAATAAATCTCAAAGCAACACCAAAATGAAGATTAATGCACGTAACAGAACGTACAGTGATTAGAGAACAATATGATACTTAATAATTTAGTTCTCATTAGTATTTTTTTTTAATATCAAAAGGTGGCAAACGAGCGAGTTTGCTTCGCATCCTTTCCTTATAAGAAAAAGGGTGGGAAGGGAAAGAGGACTAAATTAGGCCTCCGGGACGCACACTCATCAGACGAAGCGCGGAATAGCTTCCACTTCACGTCTGTCTTCTGTGTGGTCGTGGAATTTCATCGGGCGAGCCGGGCCAATTCGTGCGAAGGTGTTAAAGCGGGCTCTTTTAAATTATTTGTATATTTAT